GCGGGATGGGACACCAGGACGAGAGACAGAACTGCGGGATGGGACTGCGGGACAGGATCATGGACTGAAATAGATGTCTTTTCGAGCCATAAGCTCTTGGTGGTCTATTTCACACCCAAGGTAGCTCAGCCACTTTTGGAGGCCTAAAATCAGCAGGATGGCTTCTGTTGCAGTGTTGGAAACTAAAAGGTTTATTAAAAGGTAAAATAATAAGCTCTTTACAGAGAAAAACTGACCTAGGTGCAAGAGGTTCTTGCTCCTGGTAAAACACCTCACAAAATCCATTGGTTTGTTTGTTCTCTTCTTTTTCTAGTAAATTGCTCAGGTGGGACTTTTTGGCTCCTGTCCCACTGGCCATCCTTAAGTTTGAGGTGAAGTCCCCCAAGCCTGTGAGATGACTTTTACACATAATCGAGGAGAGAAACTTCTGAGCTTCTTTCCTTTATAAGGGGACAGAGGACAGTTTTGTCACTCCATCAACAGGGGGCACATTCCTATATCTCACCCTTTTATACATCTAAAAAGAAAGAGGAGAAAGGAACAGGAACTGAAAAAATCTTACAATGGATGAAACAGTGGGATGGGATGGGACGGGACTGTGGGACACAACACAGCTCTTGCCCTGAGCCCACTGTGCAGAAACAAATTCCTGTTTTCCCAAAAAATTCCCCTCTTCTAGGAGGAAAATAACAGAATTAAGGCGTTTCCCTTCTCCCACTTGCTTCTGTTGGTTTTTTTCTTTCCCAAACCCTTGCTTGGACCAGAGCTGAGTGGAAAACAGGGACAGTATCCATCCCAGAACAGATCCCCGTCCTGGTGAGGACACCACCGTTGCAAACAGGAGCCCCCAACCCACACCTGAGGCTCTGGACATGATTTCAGGGAAATGCCTCCTCCCCAAAGCTGTGCATACAGGAACCACGCTCTCCACACAGCTCCTGCTCTTCCCCTCCCAGAGCCACGTGCTTGGGAAGGCTCTGGCCATGAATTTTGCAGACCAAATAACAATTTAGAAGCTCCTATGAGTACATTTATGGTGTGTTCCTTGTTTTTCCCTACAAAAGCAACAGGAAATGACCACACGAGGCACTGGTACCACATGAGTCAAACCAGTTTCTCATTTATTAGGCCCAACTCCACAGCACTTCCACTGTGACTCAATAAAGGAAGAAGTTATGTCAAGTAAGATTTAAAGTTTGCGTCTCCAAGTGACGGTGTACAATCTGTGGCATCAGCAGAACGCTTGAGTGATCCACCTGGCATAGAAAATAACAGGGGAAAAATAAAAAAAAAAAAAACACATTAAAGAAGCAGCCTAGAATCTCCACAAAGTTTCCATGAGGTCCCAAATGAGTTATTTCCATCCCTTTTACCTTCAAAGCCTTGTTTAAACATGTTAATGTGGTACTGCACTCCCAGCACAGCTGATTCAGGACCCCAGGGCAAGGAGGAGGAAAAGGACTTAAAATATCCAGAATCAAGCACTATTTGCAGCAGTCTGACACACAGCATCTCTATTCTAGGCATAATATTTAAAAAAAGAATATGACACTGGTCATCTCCTGAGGAAACTGAGTTAAGAGGCTTCACTTCCATGAAGATTTTTATTTAGGGCTTTATTTTAGTCTGGGATTAGGGCACATTAGGTTTCGCCTATGCTGTCTTTGCCAGGGGGGTTTGGGGTACAGGACTCCCATGTCAAGAGCCTGGGAAGCAACACCAAATCTTACCAACAAGGTTTATGCTTTGTCCAGGCCCAGTTCCTCTGGAGTGGAGATTCCAAGTTCACTCAAAGTTGGTCTAAGCTCCTGGATAACGTAAGGATAGATTTCCTTGTGGGGTCCTGCCTTGTCCTGAAAAAAAAAAACCCAAAAAACAAAGAATGGAGTTATTCAAAATCTACATTTCCAAAGCCTCCCACTTCTGCCTGTGGCAGAGCAGAGCTCCTGGCTTCTAGGGCTGAAATAAAAGTCCTGGCTTCTCTGAACTCCCTGGCCAGGTTGGATTCAGGTTTCAAGGAGCTGGTTTCAGGTGATCCCCAGGAGAGCTTTCTGAGCTACTTCTCTCAGTCCCCCAAGAAACCAGCAAGCTTTGTGCTCACCATGGAGCCACTGATGGTGGTTTCCCTTTGCAGCAGGGAGAACTGCCCTGCTGGCAGGCTCTGGCCATGGCAACAGGGCAGTCCCACCCACCTTTACAACCTCCAGGATGCGCACAGCGCTGGCAAAGTCATTTAACCGTCTGCAGGCCCGCAGAGCCGCGTCGATGATCTTGGGCTCCGGGACCAGGTCGTAGCCCACCAGTGTGTTGATGCCTGTGGGGACAAGGGAACACCAAGGAGAACTTGGAACCAGCTTGTCACCATCTCAAAAGGAGCTCCTTGCTGTCTGCTCCCTTCCTTCTGACAGAAAAACTCAGCGCCTCATCAGGCAGGCACTGCTGGAAGGATCCCTCTGGCTGCAATTATCTGCTGTGAAATCACATTTTTAAGGCATAATTGGCTTTAAAAGATGAACTGTCCCACTGTATTGGTCCTATACTGCCCCATGGACCTAGCCCAGTCCTATCCCCCCTGTGCACACACCCCACACTGCCCTACAGATACCCTCAGCCCTATACCACCCCATAAATGGGGTAAGTTTAATAAAACTTGGCAACTCCACAGCAAAAAACTCCACTTGGCAACTTGGCAACTCCACAGCAAAAAACTCCACACAAAAAGTCTGCAGGGAGTTATGGCCAAGCCATTAGCCAAAGTGCAAAGAAAAATGAGCATAGCAGAGCTCAAAAACACTCTCCTTGGAGCAAATGCTACTGTCCCTCCCATTCAGGTGTTAAAATCATGGAATCACAGAATGGTTTGGGTTGGAAAAACCTCAGAGATCATCTAGTCCACCATTCTATCATGGTGTCATGGACACATTTTATGAAAAATCCTTTTGCTAGGATCTTTTTCTCCTGAGAAGCTGAGAGGCCTCAGGAATGAAATGTAAACAATGATTATCTGCTGCTGTGGAATGCAACAGGTGCACCTGTGATTGGTCTCATAGAGTTGTTTTTAATTAATGGCCAATCACAGTCTGGCTGTTTCAGACGATCTGGTCAGTCACAAGATTTTATTATCATTCCTTTCCTTTTCCTTGCTAGACTTCTGATGAAATCCTTTCTTCTACTCTTTCAGTATAGTTTTAGTATATCACTTTCTTTTAATACAATATATATCATAAAATAATAAATCAGCCTTCTGAAACATAAAGTCAAGAGTCTGATCTCTTCCCTCATTTTAAGAACCCTACAAACCCCATCACAGGTAGGGACACCTTTCACTAGACCAGGTCACTCCAAACCCTGGCCTTGGACACTTCCGGGGATGGGGAATCCACAAAACACCAACTAAAGTTGTTACTTCTGGTCAGAAAACTTCAGGTTATGCTTCCCTGGTGTCCAACTTACCTTTCCTGAGCTCCCAGGCATCGATATCTGGCTTGTTGAAATACGTCACCCAGCGAGCATCGAATTCTTCATCTGACTCTTGTGACCCCCCGTGAGAGTAGCAGCGGGCAGGAAGCACAGCTGGGAGCAGGAAAAAAGGAACAAACTTGGAGCAAAAGGAACAGAACACTGCTTCAGTCCTGACCAAGAGGCCAGCAGCCATAAAATATGGATCGCCCTTGTTACAGTCAGTTGTGGATGAAACTTATTTAATATCGTGGTTTATGTTTTAGCAAAGTGTCTGCTTTTTTCCATATCAAAGTGTTCCCAGAGCATTGGTCAGAGCAGGGCAAAGACACACAAAAACCTGCCCTAAAGAGGTTTTCTGGCATTCCTTTTTCTGTAAAATACAGGAATTCTCCCTCTTCCCATAGCCAAGTGAGACTGAGAAGCTGTAACATGCATGTTCCACCAACAAAATTCCATGCAATTCCTAGAGAGGCTCTCAAAAGCAAAGGGATGAGAGATATTCCTTCCAACAGAAGGGCTGGAGGAGGAAAAAAACTATCACAAGATATCTATCCAAGAGAAAAACTCTTGGGTCTCAAGGTTGCAATTGCATTAATATTTGATAACTAATCACAAAAGCAGATTGTATGCCAATGCACAAATTAGTCAGACAGGATCATTGTTTCTTCACTCAGCACTATCACAAATTTTGGTTTTTTGGATGAACCTGAATTTTTTTTACCCCCCAAAGGTTGGGACAGTTTTCTAAAGGAACTAAAGTGAAGGACCACAAGCCTGGTGCTTCCTTTCCCCCCTGCTAATCTCACTCCACTAATATTTGCAGAGAGGTCACACAGCAGATACGACCTTGGAGCTCAAAGCTCTGCTCCACACAAGTCAAATTTAGCTCCTGACTTTTTCTTTCTTAACCCAGCATGAACCACTCACAGGGATCAACTACAGGGTTTTATTTAAAAACAAAACAAAAAAAAACCCAACACCACAACTGGACTGTATTTTTGCTGATGTATTTCTCTTTGGTTTCATTAACGGCAGCTTAATTAGCAGGCAATTTGCTTTTTTAACAAAATTTAACCTGCTCCAACATTTCAGCTGCAATACTGGTTTATGCAATGGAAGCATGAAAATAGCTTTATTTATTTTAGCTATGGAAAAGTAAACAACAGGCCAAGACAGAATTAAAATGCTCTTTTGGTTCCTTGTAGGGAAATTTCCCCAGCTCCAAAGCAGACCTTTGACCCTGCTCTTTGCAATAAATCACCTGCACAGCAGAGCTCAGAGCAAGAGCAGGGCTCTGGAAATGCTCCTGCTCCCAGGACACTGCTGAAAACCCTCCAGGTTTCTGCTGGTTGAAGGAGAATCCTTATTTTTCTTACACAGAAAAAAAAAAAAAATCCTGCAGAAAACCGGCAAATCTCAGCTGGAGAAAAGCTTAAATTGAAGCGCTCAAATACCATCTTTAAGTCAAAATTTGAAGTCTTTCCTCAACAAAATCATTCCCTGGATCCAGGAGGCAACTACAGACCACAAGAATTAAAGCTCCAGCTTTCCAGGGTGTGTTTCTCAATTGCTGCTATGTTTCTTTTCCACATTAATGTTTATTTCTGTACCTGCAGAGTCCCTGTGGCCTGAGTTTCAGCAGGGTCCATCAAGGTCACTGTCACACACATGACGTGTGTGTGACAGCCAACCTATCCAGGCAGAGATCCCCAGCTCAAAGAAAATCCAAAGGGCAAACACCTTTGCTTCAAAGTGAATTAACAGGAATTAAGCCTAAAAACACCTAATATGACACAAAAACACGTTAAAGCTTCTCTGTGAAGGCCAGAATTGGGCAGTTTTCTCCAGTAATGAGCACATGTGAAGAAAAACATTAATTTACTGAAAATCTGAGAACGAGGAGCGCAGGGGAGGTTTTGCAGCCACAGAACTCCCCTGCAAAAGGGTGGCAGCAGCGTTCAGTGGGATGTTTGAAACACAAGAGCTTGGAAAAGAAGAACACGGAGCCTCCTGGAAACAAGGCCCAGGAGCAGCCGGGGTTCGGCAGCTCAAAGGAACAGCGAGCAAAGATTTTAGTGGATTTAAAACAACAAAAGATCAAAGGTGCTGAGCAGCACCTAAGAAATCCTGTGCTTATTATTTAAAAAGACGCAGTGACAAGTTCCCTACGGCAGTCGATGAACTCACACGTGCCGCAGCAGAGGCACACACAAGTCTGCGAGCATTACTAGTGTCTGCTAATTAGGTATTAATTGCGATGAAGAGGTTAATTAGTTATTAATTGCGAGGCACAGGCAGTGCATTCTCTGCAGCCTCCGTCCTCCAGCCCTGCCACCCTGGCCACCATCACAGACCGCTGCCTGGGGCTGGTCCTCCTACTCTCCCTTTTAGCTGGGGCGTTAATATAATAAATATAATTAATTGGCGTGTTAATTAGGAGGGTGAGGGCTGGCGCGGAGCTGCCGCGGAGCCGGGGCGGAGCCAGGGCTGGCTGGCGCCGCGGAGGTCACCGCCGCCCTCCATCAATGTCACCTTGGTGGGGGGCGCAGGG